CTTTGGAATTCAGAAAAGTTTGAACTTCAAATTTTGGGTGATAATTGAAAGGAGAAATTCATATCCTGGAAAGGAAGCAACCTGTCCTTTAGCTCAAGTGGATTTGTCAATGAGGAGAGGATGAATAACATTCCTCAGTGCCTGGCACTCCCATCTCTATGTGAGTTTCCCCAGTCCATCCTGGCTGTGATGGTATCAACATTTGTTCCTGCTTAAATGCCCATAGTCATAGGTTGTATCACAGCTCCTGTCTCAGGGGTTGTATTTCTCTACTTCAYTGAGCCCTTTGAAAATGTAAACTTATTTGTGGAACATCTGCTTGTGCAAAGGAAGTGTTCCCATACTGATTTTGTTCAGGAGTTGCAGCCTTTGAGTGCATCAGCTGGGGATGCTGTCGCCTTAAAAATTCTGTTCAGCAACCGGATTATATGTCATGAGCCATTCCGTCAGGGAATCCATCTTAAACTCGTTTCAGGCTAACACAGCCAGAACTCTATATTACAGCAAGGGGCAGCAAAGCCTTTACATCTGCTAAGTCTGATTGAAGTGCATTACTCATTTTCTCACTACCTGGGCAGTTTCATCCAAGAAAACAAACATCGCAGGAAAAAACCATGGTCACAGGGCATTGTTAATGATCCAAAAAATATCTTTGCCTGGACTTCAAATCAGGGCAAGCTGTCAGAGAGAAACCCAAATTAACTGTTGCAGGGTATCTTAGATGCTTTTAATATCAAATAAATTTTGCCTTATGACATAAAATTATTAACAGTATCAATACAAACCTGGACAYAGCCTCTTTGTCAATACAGCTGGTTTTTTTTTTCCCTTGATGATAAGACCATGAAATATATCTCCTCTGCTGCCACATGCTATCAAACTGACAGCATTTCAGTATGAGGAAGCCCTTGGGGAAGGCAGACACAGTGCTCAATGGTCTATTCATTTGTTAAACATTTCAACATTAACTAAAGCCTTACTAGGGCTGGAGAGGGAGGTTGGGAGGAGTGAGTGTCAAGGAGATATTCCTCAGAGAATCCAGATGCATTACATACATATATGACCAACATAATGAAAATGAAAGAGAGATGTGTCCTGGGATCAGAATATGGGTGGAAGTTTTCAGTAACCARGAACAAGGAACAGTAGTCTTTTCCTTTCTCTGTCCGAATACTCTCTTTCCAAACCGTGTCCTAATCCTAATTCAGCAGAAGTATTTTTGGTCATTTGGTTGGGGTTTTTTTAACCAGTCCAGATTTTCTCTAGACTGAAAAACATCCTAGTTAGTGGGTACTGTTTCAGATTACAAGTGCAAATGAGAAAAGTGTCTGATGGACAGCTAAATCCTCAGCACAGCAGAAAGWCATGCAACCCTCAAGGGTAGCACTGAATTACTGTGGAAGGACTCCTGCYTTGCCTTGCCTTGCATTGCCATTCAGCTCAGAGCCTCACAAATAGGAGAAGGGGGAAAAGAAGAGCAAATATTTTTTATTTGAAAACACTTGAGGGTGTTTATTCTTTCATCATTGCCTTTCTCCCTCTTGCTTGTTTGAACATCAAAGAGGATGTGCTCTTGGAGGGAGCACTCCCCTTTCCTTGTGGATTCACAATAGTGTAAGATATGAAAAAGCATCTCCTTTTCCTCCTTTTGTGCCATTAGTAACTTCTTAGTTACTGTAACAGTTACCTCTGCCTCAGTTCAGTAGTAAGAAAGTTCAAGAGCCTTATCTCTCCAATAGAAGAAAGTGTAACATCCTCATGATGTGGGTCTTTGTCTTTTAGTCTTGGTATTAAGGAAACTATCTCTCATCTTAAAAATGGAAATACTAATCATATTCTTTTAAAAAGTAAGAATTAAGAAATATATACCTRGTATTAGATATGTCACATTGATCCTGCAGACTGGAAAAAAAACACCCCAACCATCAAACTGCCCAGCTGATTAAACAAAACTGATGAATCAGGTTTGTTCTAAGCAGTATGAACAGAAATGGAGTTGTTACATTTTGAGGTGAAATAATATGCTATGATTCATAAAAAAAACTTACCTAGGGGGGAAAAAAAAAAAAAACCCAAAAAACCAGAAGTGATTTTAATCCCCGAGTTGGGGAAAAAATTATTTTGTGTCTGACATTGTAGGGAGGAGATACCATTGATCACTCACACATTTAGGCAGGGCTCTTCACAAAGACCTGCCTGCAGGAAGAATACAGATTATTAGCATTCCTGGAAGTGCCTCCATTCTTTGTTGCTAGGAAACAGTAATGAAAGTGTAGGGATACCAGCTCGATGATAGGGATACAGGGCAGTGGCATTAATCCCGTGCTTTGCAGACACTAGATCTCTATAATTTGCAAACATGAATGCCAGCACAGCCTGTCGGATATGTTGGATATGATTTTTTTTAGAAATGTGGAATGCTAGAAGAGCTCAAGCCAACAACAGCATAATGTTAGAGCTCTGAAAGCCCTCCTCTACCCTGTAGAATGTGGTTTTATGGTATATTATGCTCATGCATAAAGTATTTATGCTCCCTGTTTTCTAGGTAAGAAGAGGACAACTGAGGTGACTCGTGTCTGTGAGGATCAGGGTCCATTGTGTATTGTCATTATTAAGCCAAGGGATGCTCATATTTTCACTGCAAGAGGCAAAGAAATTAAGATGAGGCTTTCCTAGATAATCTTGCCTGTGAGGAGAATTAAGGTACACCTTCGGTACGTCCCAAGGGTGGGGATGCAGTGATCAGGATTTTAATGAAATTGAGGGCTTTTATTTTGTTTCTTGTGTGCAGAATCTAGTGCTTGCTCAGTGGGAAAAACACAAGTTTGATATTTTTTCATTGATAAATTTTTTAATTTTTTTTTGTCCCATACAAGGAACTTTATTTTGTCCTGCTGACTTTCAAGGGATTGGTCCCTAGTAAGAGTAATGAAACCTTGCAAAGTCTTGTGATTCTTCTTCCTTGATTTTAACCACTCCTTCTGAATAATTTATTCAAAAGTGTATGTTAGGAATAAAGTGAAATATGTCAAAGACCTCAGAGAAATTAAAATTTTTCTTTTTTAAAAAGCAACAGGTTTTTTTTTCTCTCTAACTTATCACTGTGATCCTTATCTAAACTGCAAGACCTTCACTGCCCAGGACTGCTTCTTTGCTATCATCATGTAGAAAAAAATACTGATTAATGCTGCTTTTCCATGTGGGATCAGCAACACATCTTCTGACTCAACACTGTTATGAAGTGTTTAATTTCAGCCTTTGAGTGGGAAATGCATCTTAAAGTTTCACTGACTTAATTTTCAGGGCTGTATTGATTTACTAGACTCAATTTCGTGCATGAGCAGGTTGGGTTTTGTTTGGAGGCAGASCTCGTTTCTCTGTGACATGCCAGATCAGGCAGGTACACGAGATAAAATGTACACATGACATGATATTGTTACTCTTTTGCTTCTTTTGAAGCAGTGGAAGGATTAGATGAGGAATGCTGGGAGCTGTTTGCTGGTTTTCAAAAATTACACTGAGCTCTGGCTGTGCCCTGTCCCTGAAGTCTGTGTGATCCAGATGTTGGGCTGTGTTCATATGGTTCATAAAACCTCTTTTCTCATTGACTTCTTGTGGGACTCTGTGCATCTCCTTTCCCTTCTTTCTTCCTATATTCTGGTATTTATCATCTCTATTCAGGCTGCAGATTCCAGGCATAGAAAGAGCTATCTATGCTGCAGTGTATCTGCCCCATGGGTTTCTGGCTTGACTGAGTGGATACCCCAGCCACTTTATTAACAATATTAATTGTTATTGTCAACAATAATATTACTATATTTATTCCAGGGCAAGGAGGGGAAATGTAARTTGTCTCTGGGAATGCTCTTCATCTGAAAATATGTATACAACAATATGCCATGAAAATTTTGTAAATATGCCATCATCRTTATAGCAGCAATAATACTTCTCACATAAATTCTATATTCTAATACTTCTCAACATAAATTCTGTTGTGTTTTTGATGCAGTCAACTAAGAGTGCAGCACTGTATTTGTGTTTTATGTGTTTATACACACAACTTTTTTCCAATAAGAAAGGGATATTTATGTAATTGTTATAGCAAATATAGGAAACTATATCAACTGAAATATTGAGCAAAAYTACTTTGAATCTCAGTATATTTTGAATTCTAGTGAAGAGTAGTGCCTTTTCCTTTAATCATCACGTAGCAGATGTGATTTTGCAATTTTTTTGCATTTTTTTTTTTCTGGATCAGTAATTCAACAGTTGAAAAGGAGTTGGACCCTCTCCAACAAAATCATTTCAGCTCTGGTTTGAAACCAGATGATTCTCTCTCTTGTTTCAGGCAGGAGGATGWGCAGGATTGCACTGTGCTGCCCTGGTCTAGTTGACATGATRTTCAGTCAAAGGTTGTACTCGAYGATCTCAGAGGTCTTTTMCAACCGAATTGAATCTGCAATTCTGTGATGTATGTGTGCGTGTATACATATACATATATATATACATATATATATATATATACACACACACACACACATATATATATACACACATATACACACACATATACATATACATATATATATATACACATATACACACACATATACATATACATATACATATACATATTTATATATACACACACACACACACACACATATATATATATACATATACACACACATATACATATACACATATATATATATATATATGTATGTATGTATGTATGTATGTATGAATCTATGAATCTATGAGTATGAATCTATGACTATATATATGTATATATATATATATATATATATATAGGAGCATGCACCCCCTTCCAGTAAATAAATACCCGGCGGTGGATGGCCTTTTGGAGAAATTCCCACACTCCCATCCCCAGAATCCCTCTCCATCCTTCCTCTCCAAGCTCCTCTTCCTCCTCCTCCTCTTCTGTCTCCTCCTCCCGCCCCGCCCCGCCCCAGCGCGGCCGGGCAGCTGAACGCCGCGGGGTGTTGTGTCCTTGCGCGGCTGCCGTAGCGGCCGGCGGGGCAGGGTGGCGGTGGCCGCGGCGACATGGGCTAGTCTGGGGGTGGCCTCGCTGGCCTTGGCGGCGGGCGGGGCGAGGCCAGGGGCGGTGGCGAGGGACAGCGGCGAGGGACAGCTCCGGCCGGCGGCGGCGATGAGCCATGGCCTCCGTGAAGGTGGCCGTGCGAGTGCGGCCGATGAATCGCAGGTGAGTGAGGGAGGGAGGCGCCGGCCCGGCCGTGTCCGCTCTGTCGCTGGTGTCGCTCACAAGTGGTGTGAGGAACGCCGTGTCCCGGCTCTGCGGGYGCTGACAGCCACTGCGGGAAGCTCTGCCGGGAATTCAGGGGCTCCCGGCGCTCGGCTGGGAGCGCTTCTCCTCCCCGCCGGGTTGGGAAGTGGCTCCCCGGTGGAGCGGAGACGAGCGGGGCTTTGCCTGGGAAGTTCACTTGTCATGGTCTGAAGCATTGCTTTGTCTGTTATGACGCAAAAGTTACTCTGGTGAAGATTGAAAACTCTCAGAKAGGAAGGACCTGTCAAGGATCCCCAGCCAGGCTTCTAAAATGTGAAAGAAACCTGCTTCATCTGGAAACAGCAGCCTTTTCTRTCGCTTGAGAGATTGTTACCTAGTTCATTTGGAGCCATTATGGTTAAAAGTTATCAGCTTAAGATCAGAGTATATAAATAAATATATATATTTAAAAAAAAGATTAAATATATATATATATATATATAAACCAAGCAGTCTGCTGCATTTACTGTATTAAAGGGAGTTCATGACCCACTTCTTGAGGTGTTTCTGGGAAATAAACACCATTTGCTTTCATGAAATAAGTGCATAATATGCATAATAGAGTTAATGATCTAATTTAAGAATCATATGTGGAAAGCTATCAGATTCTGCTGGCAGTGCTCTTTCTTCCCTTGTTCTGAAGTGAGGTAACCAGTTCAAAAGAAAAGTGGTTTAAAGCACAGGCAGCCCATCAGACTCCCACCATTCCTGTTATTTGATTCAGGTGTTCAAAATATACGATTTGCCATGTTCTGCAAGTCACACAATACTTGTTGTTTTTAGTGAGGGAAAAATCTTATGAAAATACAGTTAATGAAGGTAGTAAGGGGAAAATATTGCAGGTTRGTTTTGAGTACTTGAGGTGGATGGAGCTCAGTGGTTGGAAGTCAGTGTTGGTGAATAATCTTGTCACACCTTCTTGCTTCCACCTGCCCTCTCCCCTGGGTCTAACTATAGGGTTCMTGATAATTAAAAAAATTATTGTATATATACAATATACACTTTTCCTTCAAGAATCTCTAACAACAGGTAGCATAGGTCTTTAAGACTTGATGTGCAATGTCTGGTAGCATGGAAAAGTTTTGCAGGAGTAGTGTACCTGTGTTCTACTAAGGAAAAAGAATTGGAAAGCACATGGCAGAAGAGAAGGCTGGTRATGGTGATAGGCAGTGGCAACACAGACTTGTAACCTGTGAGTGAAAGTTTGCAAATGTGGTAAAGGAATATCAGACAAGGGCTCTGGATCTGGTGTCTGTATTGCRTGTGGGAAGATAACTTGGGAGGGGGCTGGATCAGACCATATCAAGAAAGTGATGAAAATGGTTTGTGATACAATGGAAAAAGGCAAGTCTAAGAGCAGGGCAGACAGGGAGGCCTGGTGTGGCCCATGGGGCAAGMGGAGAAAATGATCTTTGTCACAGCTGTGTGGCAGTGATCAGGCTTACTCTGAAAACTGGTGTCTGACTCTGCAAACTGCGAAGAGCCTTCCAGTTGAAGTTGCTAAAACCTTGGAATTTGTGTGATGATGTTAGATGTTTATGAAACATTACAAGGAAGTGTCATGGGATGTTGCTTTTAAGTGTTGATTTTTTTCAGAGGCACAGTTGGTGTTTGGTGTGGGACCTGGCACTGGGGTCAGTCACTGCTGAACTTGTGCTGTGTTTTGCAAAACTGAGGATCCAACAGCTTTTCCTATTGCARTAGGGAAGRCATGGYRAACTGTRAGCCAGGARCAGTAATTKTATTTTTCTTAGTGGTTTCKCAGAATYSTTAGGGTTGAWAGTGACYCCTGGAGATCATCTAGTCCAGCCCCCCTGCCAAGATACAGGCACCTTGGCAGGTGTTCCCTTGCACATGTCTTCTCTCAGCTGTTCTCCCTTTACCTTTTTGGGTCCCTGGAGTATTTTAGAGAGAAAAGGCATTTCTGCCCTTTCAAAGGAACTTTACAACCAGGTGTTCATTCTCCAGCACTTAATTTCAAAATCCTTAACATGAAATGGTGTGGAGTTGATTTAGTTAAATTTGCTTTGGTTTGTTTGAAGTTTAATAATATAATGCAGCTTATTTAATGAGTCATTTTTAATTAGAGAAGACAGTTGATGAATGGTTATAGGAAGACTCTTACCTTATGGAGCAGTTGCACTGTATGGTGTCATAGCACTGCTAATTGTGTAATAAGTCATGAACATGGATTTTGTAACATGGAATGAAATGTGATGGGAAGAGGGTTGTTTTTTAAGAATTACTTACTGTTCCATTGYTTAGATGACAAATTTTAGTATTTTTTTGCTGCTTCTGTGATCTATTTTTAGTCTTCTCATTCTCTGACTTTACCTGGAAAGAGTTTGTTCATTTCAGTGGTGKTGTTAAAGTCCTTAACCATTCTTCTTGGAGTCACACCCCAAATTGTGTTACACAGATGTTTCACTGAAATCTTTTGACTCTGCATAATGCAATAAGAGTATGTCTAATGGCTTTGCAGTTACTGCTTTAAAACCAGTTGTAGCAAGAGATTGGAAAGTTCAGTTACTTGGTGAGTCCCTATCTGTCATTTGGTTTCCCTCATTCAACACWGAATTGCCATGACGGCCTTTCAGTCTGTGCTTACAGCTGTAAGTTTCTGTAAAGGCAGCAGAAAACCTGCCAGCTGGCAGAAACCTTGATTTTTGTCATTGGGTAGAAATCTGCAGGGAAGTGAACTTGGGTGTTTGATGTATTTTGCTTTGGCAAGTTAATGGGTTTGGACACCATGATTTCTAAGGTTCGTTTTCTGACACAGTCCTTAGAAGCATTCATAAGATGGGATTGTAGAGGTGTAATCAGATTTGAGGCACTATTTGTTCACACACTGAACAGATGASTTTGAGTCACTGGTTACTAGTGGCTGTCTTCTGCACAGTGTGAAGTATTTGGGATCCTGTTAAACCTCACCTATTTCTGGCTCTCTATTTTGTATTATGCAGTGCATCTGCACAATTCAGATAAATGCACTGCTTTATGTTCATCTGCTCAGAGTCTTTAAAGAAGAAGGGAGTAGTATTTTAGTACTTCCATTTTGTGTCGTGTTTCTTTTAGAATTCAATAAGGATCCACTTTTATACTTTTGTCAGTGTCTTGGTTTGAAACAATTTAAAGGAGAACACACTGGAACGAGTTATCTCCTTTAGGATTCCAATAATCCCTTTCTACCAGTAAAAAATGAATACTAACAGAAGAAAGTTAAAAATCCACGGTTTATTAACAAACAGGATGCCAACAGGTAGAAAAAGAAGTAAATAACTGCTAGATATCAAACTATTAGACCTCACCACCCAACTGGAGCAAACACACAATGGTGTCAGGAAAGAGAGAAGCTAAATGGCACAGTTCCTGCAACAGATGAAGCCCCGATGGCTCATCCCTCCTTCCCATGGCAAGGTACCAGGACAGTGGCCTTGGCAGGTGAGGTAGCTGGGCTGGGGGCACTCGGTGGTTTTTTTTCTTCCTGGCTGGATGTGGTTGATGGCAGTCTGGGCTGGAGTCGCTTGGCTCCACTAACGGCGAGATTCACCCTCGAGGTAGCCCAAAGATCGCCTCCACCACTTAAACAAAACGAGAAAAAAAAAATAAAGGAAAGAAAAAAGCCTTTGCCTGATCAAAGATCGAGCCGCCAGTGAAGCAAACGCCACGCAACCCACGTTGAAAACCTGGGTGGACAGCTTTTAAAAAAGGCCTGCTCCAAAAGCCAACTTCTGTCCCCATACACAAGATTCCCAGCTTCAGGGTCTTAACAATASAGTAACAATTTYTGGGCTCAGATGGTTATGGAATACMTTATCATTASGAATCACCCCAAGAYAGTMAAATAAAACCATCTAAAATATGGCAAATAAGAAAAGAATTCTTTGATACTTAATAAAGGAAATATSAACTTGATTTTTCCAAATACTGTTACTAATTCTTGTGGCTCTCAGTTTCTTATACCTGATAGGTTTTTCTGTTTGGCTTTTAATTCATGGAGTAATAGATGAAGGTTTTTTCAGACTTTAACCCTTTTCTTGTTAAAGGGTTCTTGTTAAAGGTCTTGTTCTTTAACCCTTGTCTGTTTCTTGTATTTGCATAAACTAATTATGGTACTTAATTGGCTGTACAAACTAATTGAGGGTTGTGTGCTGTCCTTACCTGCAAAAATGCAGCTGACATCAGRGCATGGGTTTGCACTGCAGTAAGTTCTTTCCTGTGCCTACTTAGTGCTCTCAGCATTTTTAGATATTCATTTAAATGAGTTGCCTGGACTTTTTCATGGCTTTCTTATTGCCAATATAATGAAATGGAAATTCTAATCTGATTTCATGGTTAAACAATGTGAGGAGACAATTTAATTTTGATTTATCTCAACACTGATTTTCAGAAGCATGTGGGGTAGGGGGTGCACATGTGCCACCTGCAGGAATCAAGATGGGATGAAGGCTCTGTCTCTGGGGACRCTTTGCCTGGCAGAYATGTCATKTCTSAYATGGGACAGACAGWCAGCAGGGGAACACCAAAGACACTGTACCCTCCAGAGACATTCTCCAATTTGATCACAAAAGATCTCCACCAGTGGACTGCAGTACAACTCTGGACTGGGCCAAAGCAGGCAGACTTTAGGARGAGCCAGGGGACATAAAAARTAGCYGTGTCCCAAGATCCAGGGCTTGTTTGGTTTGGGGTTTTTTGGAATCTTGTCTTTTGGGCTTTTTGAGTCTGGGGGCTTTTGCTTCTTGTGTTTTTGCTTTGRCTCCAGCTCCTCGCCCTGGCCSTAGCCTGWTTTTTKCCCTYTTTGCCCWGGCTCCAGCCTGCCTTTTGGYTTTTCTGCCCTCCCTGGCTCTTGCTTGCCCCTGCATATCTACCTCCCCGCCCGCTGGGCACTTGGCGGGACACCGGCTGACATCCGAGCC